AAAAGACTCCTGATATTAATCTATTATTTAGAAAGATATACTACTTTTTCGTAGACTTGATCATTTAGAAAAGGCATTAGATCCATCCTTTGCTCAGGATCATTAGAGGTTCAGTGGGAGAATATATTTATCATAAGAAGTGATATGATTTATAGAACGAAGTTAATGAGAGAAATCCAACAACTTATTTTCTGTTTTTAGACTATTATCTCTTCTCAATTTTCTATTTTTGACATTGGAAACAAATCAACGGTCAAATCAATAGATTTTTAGTGTTTTTTTTTCTTTCCAAAGCAAACAATGCAAGGCGATGCAAACATCTCTAAAATAATTTAGATCAAATTGTGAACTGAAATCACCAAAATAAATCGAACACAAAAACTCTAAGGATCGATAGATTTTTTCTGCATTCTACCACCCCTCATCTAAATACTTTTAGATATGTACTCAAATAAATATCTTTTTTAAAAGTTGCATAAATTCTGGACTAGGGATGAATCAAGAATAAATTGATTCTAATCTTTAAAAAAAATCAAATTAAGATTTTCTCAAATCTTTAAAATGCTTTTTTTACGATATATTCAGGCGAACGTTTTAATTAAAACTCATACTAGGAAAAATTTCCGTATTAAAGGGACTGTAAACGTGATAAAAAGTGACCATACATGCAAAGATGGCAATGCCCGATTCACAATGCGGTACCTTTAAAAACCTTGTCTAATCCAGTATGAATGACATAACAATATTTAAATTTTATAAACAAATAATTTTCAAATGCGGGTTCTCTACATAAGGTGTCTTGCATATTTCTACTGCAGGATAGCATTTATGAATGATCAGAAACAAACCTAGAAAAACGACAATAACTTCCATATTATTGAACAGAAAAGGGTTTCAAAGGTGCTGTTTTAAATCGGGAATTGCCATCTTTACATGGAGGGTCACTTGAAATTACACTTACAGTCCCTTTAATGAACCCTGATAAAGTGGATTTTAATATGATTTTATATATTTTTACAGGTTGTATAATAATAAAGCAATTTTCAGATGTTGTAAATATTAAAGTATGGTTAAGGTCAGGTGTAGTGTAGAATAAATCATTAATCATTCTCTACTGTCCAGAGTAGGGGGGGGGGGGGGGAAAAAGGGGAGGCGGGAGGGATTATGGAACTTGCTTATTCAAGGGATAAATAATAATTGTTAAAAAAAGGCAAAAATTATAATATGGTATTTGGTAACCATAAATAGTTCAGTTATATGTAAATATGCCGGTTCAACTTTGCCAATACATGCCACCAATATATCCATGATTCATCCAATATAATAAGGAAAATTGACGATATCTTACCCACAGTTTCTCAGATAAAGATTTAAAAGGTAATTTGAGACTTGGACGTGCCACTTTCTTTAATGCAGGGTCACTTGAAATGACGTCAATAGTTCATTGAAATACATTGTTTGAGACTGAACCTGAATTCAAAGTACAGAGAGAAACAGACAACTTTGTAATAAGGAGACTTTTAGACTCAAGGCATGGCTTTAAATAGATCCATGAATACGAGACAAAGCAATTGTGCAGTGTTAATAGAAAAATTTTACATAAAATGTGATTTACTGACTTACTAGTAAAGCTATTTGCTTTGTAAAAACAACAAATTAAATTCATTATTTCTATAATGTCGTCTTTCTTTTCTACAGTTTTCTGGTTATGGCTGTATAAAAGTAGTAAGTTCTATATTTAAAGAAAGGAAAGTGAATGACAGTTAAAGACGGGATCATATTCAAATTGATATGTTTCGGACACATTCATCTCTACTGGGCTCCAGGAGGAAAGGAATTTACATATATGAGGGTAGGTGAACAATAGAACTGGGCAATGTTTCGATAACAAACAAAACTTTTTAAAAGTTAACGATACGAATCGTTAATTTATTATTTAAAAACGGACGGAAAACGTCGTTCAATAAATACTTCTAAGGGGCAAATTCGTTGATTGTTAAGATTAAAATATGCATTTTAGGGACCGAACAAGAAGAAAAAGTTCCGTAAACGAAGAAAGGCGTTTAGAAATTAACGGAAAACTTCGTTTTCGAACGAAAAGAAACGAATTTTAAAGAATTTATTAAAATATGATCGGTATCCGTTACGGGACCGCTGAAGAACGAAAGGATTGAAAAGGTACTAAAGCGCCCAGGCCTAGGAAAGAATTGGCATGTTGGTTGGGTTTAGTGAGAAGAGAAAGGAATAGATTGGACAACGTGTCATTTTTCCAGCTCTGTATTCTCCCTATACTGCATAATTACAATACAAATGAGGGACATTCCCACCAACATACACAGAGAAACAAAATAGAGTTAAACCAGGGACNGGGTGGAGGTAGAAAAGATGGTTAAAAACCTAACAAAACCTAGGGACGGGAGCGGAGGGGCATGTAAAAAAGGTGGTTAAAACTTACAAAAAAATTGTATTAAAAAAAATATTCTTTTTTAAAAAATGGAAAATGTTAGCTTACAGGATCTTACAAGACAAGTTTATTTAAGGTTGGACAACTAGCAAATCCTGACAGTGTGAAGATCTGCTATTCCTAAACGTAAACAAAGGAAAATGTTCTTTTTCTCCAAAAACAGTTCACATCCTATACCCCAGTATAATAATAATATTAGTTCTATGGTAAAAATATCCCCAAATATAAACAAAATATTTGTAATCCCCTCCTCCCTCTTCCCTCACGACACGTATTCAAAATTAATGTTTATGAAGAAAATAATGAAAGTATCTTTGCTGGAACCAAAAAGCTAAGAATAAGGATGTTTTATTATGTTTGATTATGTACTATAATAATACAAGAACATATATACTAACTATCTGAAGTGCCCGGCGTTGCCCGTGAAATTTTGTTTTTCTTAATTTAAAAAAATTTGATTTTTGAAAGAAAAAAGGCGAATTGAGTTTTTGCCACAAAATCAAATTTTCTGATTTTCTAATTATATCTTTGCAACCTGATAGTTTGATATTTTAAACTTAGCTTATTTGATCCAATTGAATTCATAGTTTGACATATCTAAGGTTTACGACATTGGGTTGCAAAGAAATAGGGATATGAAAATCAGAGTTTGTGGCAAAGACTCAATATCTTTGTTTAGCCTATGTTACTCCCCTATGTTACATTTTAAAAATATACAAACAAAGATATATGAGCTCTATGAGCGAAGAGCTTTATCATAAAGAATTGTAGTACACGAACTAGAATATATTATGTACTAATAGTACAAGAACTAGAATATATATGTACTAATAGTACAAGAACTAGGATATATATGTACTAGAAGTACAAGAACTAGGATATATGTATACTAGTATTACAAGAACTAGGGTAGGTATGTACTAGTAGTACAAAAACTATAGAATAAGTATGAACTAGAAGTACAAGAACTATGTATACCAGTGTTTCAAAAGCTAGGAAATATACGTACATATACGTACATCTTATGTACTATAATACAAGAAGCTGGTTATGTACTAAAGTACACAAGCTGGATAAATATAAAATGTCTGAGGTTTGGTTTGTCTAACAACCGGAAAATTGGAAACTAGAAATATAAAGATATCTCTCTATACAGTATACGGTATACAGAGAACATGTTCTTTAATATAAAGATATCTCTCTATACAGTATACGGTATACAGAGAACATGTTCTTTAATATAAAGATATCTCTATATACAGTATACGGTATACAGAGAACAATTTATAGAGAACATCTTCTTTAATAAAAAATAAAATGAGAAAATAGAAAGTGGGGTTAAACCGATTTAATGTAAAACAAAGAGGGAATGAAAGAAAGAAGGAAAAAATAAAGGAAATAAATAGTTTTTGACTAAAACACAAAAAGGGTTTTTTGGATATATTTTTTATTAGGTGATTATTTAGCACAGCCCAGTCTTCACAAGAAAAGATTAATTGTAATTTGGAAAATGTAATTTTGGATAAAAACAGTTTGAAAAAATGTAATTCTGGATATATATAGTTTGAAAAAATGTAGTTCTGGATATATATAGTTTGAAAAAATGTAATTTTGGATATATATAGTTTGAAAAATGCAATTCTGGATATAAATATTTTTGAAAAAATGTAATTCTTGATATATATAGTTTGAAAAAATGTAATTCTGGATATATATAGTTTGAAAAAATGTAATTCTGGATATATATAGTTTGAAAAAATGTAATTCTGGATATATATAGTTTGAAAAAATGTAATTATGGATATATATAGTTTGAAAAAATTTAATTCTGGATATATATAGTTTAAAAAATGTAATTCTGGATATATATAGTTTGAAAAAATGTAATTCTGGATAGATAGTTTGAAAAAATGTAATTCTGGATAGATAGTTTGAAAAAATGTAATTCTGGATATATATAGTTTGAAAAAATGTAATTTAGAAAAAATTTTAATTCAGGAAAATGTAAATTAGGAAAATGTAATTTTTGAAACTTTAATTGAGGAAAATGCAATTTTGGTTAAATGGATAAATAATGTATTATTTAAAAAAATTAATTCTAGAAAAAGGTATTTGGGAAAATGTGAATGGGGCCCATTTTGGAATAGGTTTCGTATTTATCGCCATTCGTATTTTTTTAATTTTAAGATTCTATTCGCCCTCCGGAGGCTAAACTTTTGGTTTTGAATAAGATTCTATTTTAAATACTAAAAATGATAAAAAGAAGTTACGTCAACTTTGTTCACGGGCTTTTGGACTAATTCTTAGTTTGCAATAAAGTTAGAATCCAATTAGATTCTAACATGGAAGCTGTGATGATTATAATAATCATTAATAATTAATAGTTTCGAAAACTTCGAGCTTTTATAACTTTCTGCTTCTTTCCTTGTATTTTTTTCCTATTTATAATATTGTTAATTCGTACTTTAAATATAATTTTCTAGATTTTTTAAAAACTATTTTTGATGTTCATATTTTTATATTTAATCTCTGTTACCTGTCTGAGTGCCCAGGTTTAGACCTTTCACATCCTCGTTTATTCCTCAACATTTTTATTCCGTCTAAACTTTTCTCTTTCCGATACAATTTTTAATTCTTTTCGAAATATTTTTTAGATTTGTATGTTTATGTTCAGCCCGCTGGCTGGCAGGCCATCACCATGGTTCCGGCCGTCCTAGTTGGACGGTTCTTGGAGCTGAACCTTGTAGTGTCGGGTTCCTGGGATCAGGATCATACTTAGGAATCATAGCATTCTCTGGGTTCTATGTAAGTAGTATCCATTCGTGAAAAGGTTTAGTCTAGTGAATGCTTAGCTCCGGATCTACGGTGTATTGACGCATAACTTGATATTTTTTCTCAGGTTCGAATATTTTTTCTCCACATCTGTCTTTACATGAGCACTAATCAACTCACCTAAAAAAATGCAAAATATTTATTTTTAAATAAAATTTCTGATGAGGATAGAAAACTGAAATCTTAATCTTGTAGATTATGCATGCCAACTATGTTTTTCATCCATTTAAATTTATTTTTCTGACCATAATATGTTTTACTTTTTTCATCCGTACTTTTTGTTATTTCAGGTGACCCTAGAGTGGAGGCATTTATTTCAACGGTACATTTAAAACCTTATTGTCTAATCATGGTACATGAGATATCTTGAATTTTCTCTTTAAATATTGATTATTTTCAATTACAATTTCTCTAAAAAAGGAAAATAGAAATGAAGGAAATTGTCAGAGTTCAACACATTTAAATATTGGTTGTTTTCAATTACGATTTCTCGACAAAAGTGACTGATGGATTTATGTTGCATAGAACATGAAGCAAATGGTCAGAATCAGGGAGTAAGGAATAGAAGGGAGATATAACTGACGCGGTTCGCCCTACCATATGATTTTACATGCTTTGCAGACGAGTACTTCATTTGTATATGAAATGTTCAGAATAGGTTATAGGTATACGCAGTAAATGTACATCAGACAAATACTTCTTATACAAATGGAATACTCGTCTGCAAAGCATGTATAATCATATGGTAGGGCGAACCGCGTCAGTTGTATCTCCCTTCTATTCCTTACTCCCTGGTCAGAATTCAACATAATGACAAAAAATGACAAGATCTTCCACAGAATTACAGCTTACCGATGTGAATCGGATATGCTACTCTTAAAAAATAAAAATTAAAAAAGAGGGAAAGGAAAACCTAAGCGTGAAGATGCGCCATGAATTTCTAGATTAAATATAAACCAGAATATCTTTTTACAATTGTACTTGGACATTTGTAAATATGATGATATGAATACAGATATGACAAGAAGAATATATTTGTCCAAGGATAATGTATATTGAATGAGGCCCCTCCTAAACCCATCCTGCTCCTATCTGCAATATCTAAATGCCTGAAATTGGTATCTAGATGACCCCAAGGAGGGCTCAAGAGGCTGGAAGGTTGAAAGGAGTTAATGTCTACTTCAGGCGATTAAATGAAAAGTGTAGGGGGGGGTAAAGGGTCGGGAAATTAGGTAATTTTGTTGAAAGTTTATTAGTTGAGTATATGTCACACAATTAAACTCAAGTAGCTAACTATAACAAGTTTTTATCCAGAAATTTATTAAAATTTGGTTAAAAATCTATCCTGAGACATATCTCTATCCTGGCGTACAATAAGAGTACAGGACGCCTATCTTCTTTCTGTTTCAACTTCTATTTGTGAGCATGAGAGCATTTTCTCTTCGTGATTTTTTTCATGATTTACAAAATTTTACGAAAATTTCGATTTTTAGGGCAATGTTTTATTTCTGATCATCCATAAACCTTACTTGGGGCTCCCTAACAAAATTTTGGCCCGATCGGTTTAGCCGTTTTGGCGTTTTTTGGACACAAACAAACACCCAGAGAAGTGATATATATATATAGATATTTATGTATACGTTGTTCTCAAACTTAAAATATACTGATAATTGGAGTGTCTTTAAAAAATGTGAACTTGCAAATTAATCACAGTATTACTTCCATAAAACTGAAAATATGATCCTGAAAGATATCCTGGATAGTTAAAACTTGAAGAAATATTAGAATGCATGAAAAATTTATTCCTTAAAATATAATTCAAATTTTTACCAAAATAAATGCAAGAAACCAGTTCATTTGTTACAGTGTTAACAATAACACTTTTGACCTAATGTTCCATTTACACTCCAGGAAGTAGTAAAAAAAACAGCTCGTAGAGTTTTACTAATTATATTAAAGATTAATGAAATGGGAAGAACTACTGTTTTAAAAAGCTGATCTTTAGTTCCGAGTAAATTGTTCTGTAAATGCGTTAATTATTAGACACCCTGTACAAAATCCTATACGATGTGTAGAAATGTATACACTATATAAATGACGAGTAGNGGGGTGCATACTGAATATATATTTTCTATTTGAATAATCTGGCTCATTGAACAGTTCTAGGTTCCAGGTTCTAGACTGATTCTAGGTTCCAGGTTCTAAATAGATTCTAGGTTCCAGATTCTATATAGATTCTAGGTTCCGGGTTCTATATATATTCTACGTTCCAGGTTTTATATAGATTCTAGGTTCCAGGCTCTATATTGATTCTAGGTTTCAGGTTCTAAATAAATTCTAGGTTCCAGATACTATATGGATTCTATGTTCCTGGTTCTATGAACTTTATAGATTCTTTGTTTCAGGTTCTATATATATTCTAGTTTCTAGATTCTAGGTTCTATATAAATTCTCTATGGAATGCTTCTAGGTTTTATGTCCTGGTTCAAGGTTTTAGGTTTTAGGTTTAGGGCCCAGGTTTCAGGTTTAAAGCTTTAGGTTCCAGGTTTCAGATTCAAAGTTTCTGGTGACATGTTCCAGGTTCCAGTGTTTAGTTTCCTTGTTTCTTGTTCCAGGTTTTAGTTTATAGGTTCTATTGTTGAAAGTTTAATGATCATGGTTCCAGGTTCAAGATTTCTGGTTCCAAAGATCCTGATTCTGGTTAAACAGGCTAAACAGATCTAGGTGCTAGGTTCCAAGTTCCTGAATTTCTGGCTCCAGGGTTCAGGTTCTATGTTTTCCCAGCTGTAATGAAGAGTTGAGAGCTCGTCATTAGGAAGTGGAATTAGAAGGTTTTAGCATAATTACATTCAGACTAGATCTTTAGTAAACCTGAACACTAGCAACCCGGAACTATCTAGTTTTTAGTAAATTAGAATCACAATTTTAAATAATTTAGTCTCCAACGATAATATTCCGATAACCACAATAACTTTGTTGAAAGCAAAAGTATTTGTAGATTATTCTAATAAAAGATCTAGCAACCTTGAAGAGAATATTTTTTACCGAGAAGTTTATTTTTTCAACGAAATTATCGATAATGACAGATTTTCTAAAGCTAAATAATACACTAATTCCCTTTCTTCCATGCTCCCCCCTTATACTTGTCCCCATTTTCCCTTCCCCTAACACCTGCCTCCCCCTTACCCTTGCCCCCCTTCCTTAGGATTTATTTTTGTTTAAAGGGTGAGAAAGTGAAAGGAAAGAACGAGTAGATTAATGTGAGGGAACGAAGGAAGGATAGTAGATTAATTTGAGGGAAGGAAGGAGAGTAGATTAATGTGAGGGAAAGAAGGTGAGTAGATTAATGTGAGAGAAGGACGGAGATTAGATTAATTTGAGGGAAGGAAGGAGAGTAGATTAATGTGAGGGAAGGAAGGAGAGTAGATTAGATTAATGTGAGGGAAGGAAGGAAGGAGATTAGATTAATGTGAGGGAAGGAAAGAAGGAGATTAGATTAATGTGAGGGAAGGAAGGAGAGTAGATTAGATTAATGTGAGGGGGTAAGAAAAGATTTGAACTATTTCAGAATTTCTAAATTCTAGTCTGAACTAATCACTCCTTTGTTTATCAGTGAGAAAGGTATTCGTGGAAAAGTATTTTAATCCCATTAAACGTTAAGTAACATTTGTTTTCTTCAGGCTTAAAGGATTTGTGAAATGAAATGTTAAAATGCGCGAAGAGTTATAACAGCAGAATTTTTTGCGGGGAATATTGCACAGAATTGGTTAAAGTATATTTGCAAACATTAATCCCACAACAATGCACACATGCAAATAAACAAAATATATGATAAAGGTCCGGCGGAAGGGGTTGGGGTGCTTTTAAAATTCAATTTTTTTTTGCGTAAAGTTATTAAAAAAACAAGAAAATATTATAAAAAATAATAGAAACTCTAACCTCATTTAATAATCTTTAAAAAAACCCTGTTACAGTAAACATTATTTTTATTATTTTATTATTATCATTATTATATCTGCAAATACTGAATAATATATTAAGTAAACAAACAAATACTTACACACATTACATCGTACTCTACTAATCTTAAACCTTTTACATTTTTCCAGTTTTAAGCAGTCTATTTTTAAATTACATAGTTAACAATTAAACCCTTTGTTTTCAACTTTTTTCATAATAAAGTTTTTATTTTGTTTTCATGTTTTTGACAGGAATTCTTCTATTAGCTGGTATTACTATAATTAAAGTACAGAATATGGAACATATATTTCCCCAGTTTTTACATAATAAGTAAGAAATCTTATAACAGTTTTCTTAAAAAACATAAAAGAATTTTTTTTCTTTTCAAATGTTGATCTTCATTACACCAATTATTGGAAAAGCAGTTTAAAAGTCGAAGAACGATATTTGTGATCTGTAAATTGGCCAGTTTACATTTTCAACTTTTTGCTGAAATATTTCAAATTCCGTGAAATTTCCTGATAAAAGAAACTAAAGAGCTGCTAACTTCTAATATTTTGATAACATTTTTTCATTTTAGATTTATCAAAAAAAAAATTATTCATGACCTTCGTAAAGAGCCTGCAACTTCTGAAATCAATTGAACCCCCATTTTCATAATGTTGTCACCAACCTTCAATGTGAGTACGAAATCCTTACAAGAATAAAAAAACCAGAAAGAAATTTGTGTGCTCTTTCTTTTTGTAATTATATTATTACATTGAAAAAATTACACAAGAGAAGAAAAAAATATTCAAATACAAAAAAAAAACTATATATCTGAACAACTAAAAAACATTAAAAACCTTAAAGTACAATGAAGGTAAAAGCAAGTTACAATACAATACAATACAATACAATGCAATACAATACAAAATAATATAATACAATACAAAACAATACAATACAATACAATGCAATACAATACAATACAATGCAATGCAATACAATACAATAAAATACAATACAATACAATACAATACAATACAATACAATACAATACAATACAATACAATACAATAAAATACAATACAATACAATAAAATACAGTGAAATACAATACAATACAATACAATACAATACAATACAATACAATGCAATACAATACAATAAAATACAAT